TAAAGAATAAAAAAATAATATATTTCACAAAATATTAATTTCGTATGCGCAAAATAATAATTATTATATATAAATGCATATAATACCTATTATATTTACTGGATATTTTTATCATAATATAGTAGCTACCCTCTGTAGTTACATAAGTGTGTAATATATATAGGACATTAATATTAAAGGAGAAAAACAAAAAATTAAAGTGGAAAATAATCATACAATATACACCATATATAATAAAAAAAATAACTACATATCTTTAAAATAAACCATATATCCTCAAAACTGAACCACTAAACACTGAATTTGTATTACACTAATATTTAGGAAAAAAAAATTTTTTATAAGTTATTTTATTACATTTATATAATTTAGAGCTTTTCTTTTACCACAATAATTATACATATATATTATATAAAATCAGAAAAACATCTGTTTAATATATATATTTTTTAATTACTTTCTTTTAATCATTTTTCATATGTACAATATTCTGGTGAGAAAATATAATTAACAAATACTTTTTAATAACTGTACAAATATTATTTTCCAATTTGCTGAAATTACAATATTCAAAAGTAAGTTTTGTCTTAATAATATATTAATGAATAAAATAGTCACAGTGATATAATATATCATATTTATTGTAATTTTTACCACATTCTGTTATATTAGGTGGCTGTATATTATTTTTTTCTTGATTTACATTATTCCAATAATTTCCATTTTTCGCCAGTAAAGAACGAAAATGTGATCCAAGCTGTGTCTAATAATTTATAATAATAAAAAAACATATATAATAAAAATATTATTTTTATATAAGATAGTTTCATATTATTTTTTTATTATATATAAATAGTTTTTTGTAGTATGTGTATATATAAATAAACATATCCTTCTCTTTATATAATATTATAAATGCAACTGATATTAATAGTGCTAAAATTATTATAATTATTATAGAAATCCTGGTATTATTTTTACATTCGTCTGATAATGTGGATTGTTGTGATTTTGCAGTTTCACTTTCAATTTCTGCATTGTACCTTTTTATAAATTCTGGCACAGCACTGCATAATGAATCCTTTTCAGAAAATCTAACTTTACTTTTCATTTTGTTAAGGCACTCATACATACTAATCATTTTATCGATACCATTTATATGTTCCTTGGAAATAGTATAATCTATATAATCCATACATTTAGATTTTTCAAAAGTCTTTTTATGATCCTCTAACAATGCTTTATAAACCTTAATTACAGTGTTTTCTTCATCCTCGCTTATTTTATTATATAACCAATAAAGCAAGTAGGAAAAACCCGATTCTTTAGTTATTTTAAAAGAATCACTTTTTTCATCTATGTCTCGTACATATAACATAGCTACTCCACAATATTTTTTTTCCTTAAATATATCTTCTTTAATTCCATGTTTCTGATAAAAACCATGAGTAAAATCATCTCCACCACCCTCATTTAATATAGTTTGCATAATTTTTTCACACTCAGGAAAATAATTTACATATTCAAACTAAAAAAGAAAAAAGTGTTATATTATATCCTAAATTACATTATATAAAATATAATATACGAATAGTATAGCACTCAAATATCATAATACTGCAATTAATATATCAGTAATTGTAACAGACAAATTTTTTCTCCATTATGAATAAGATTATACCATTTTGCAAGTGATATATATAAGATAATAAAATATTATAGTATATAAATATATATTTTCATATGAATAAAAATATGTATAAAAAATTATTAGGGTTATCCTACTTATAATTACATGAATGGCATAAAATTAACAGGGGCATGATTTTTGGTTATATATATGAAATTAAAATATATTTTTAATAATTTTTGAGTTTCATATGTTATATTATGTAAAAAGTAGAAAATATATATTCATTATATATTAATAAAAAAACAGGCACCTTTTATTTTAATTAATATATTGAGGATTTTACAGCATTAAAATTATTTAAAAATTTACTAAAACATTCAATAAAAAAAGCTTAACACGTAAACTTCTTGTTAAATTGTATATGCATACATATCATTTTTTTTATGACAGTTTTTACAATATTATGAATAAATCAAAATAATGAATAATACAATATAATGAATAGAATATGATAGAAAAAATAGGATAATAACTTAGTTATTTATTTACTGATATATTAAGCATTATATAAAATGCGCTTTATATTTTATTATAATTTATGTAATTTATATCTAATTATTATATCATTTATATTGTTATACCTTAATAGCATATAATATTATAATTAAATTTATTACGCAATTCGTATTAGTAAATATTAATAAAAATGAATATTTATTGTTGAATAAAAAAAAAATTTTGTTATAAATGAAATAATACTAAATTTATTCTTACACAAATGAAATTTATAAGGTATTATTATTCCTTAAAAATAATACTTATATTATTACTATACATCTATTATTTTATCATTAATGTTTTTAAATAATATAAAAATATAATGAAATAGGTGCAGATAAATCATAATAAATATGTTTTATATTTAAATTAATTTACTTAATTTTCATATATATTACTAGAAGAAATAAATTATTTTTCATCAATTGTGAATTCTGTTCATACTTTCGTAGTTATAATAAAAACAACATTTTCCCAAGAATAAAAATGAAAATATTCGAACATTTAATAAAATAATAATATTATTATATTGTTCAATGGGTATATAAAAAATAGCAACAATGTAGAAATTTATATATCATATGATTATTCTAATAAATATTATTATGTAAATTATTATAGGAATCTGAACTCAATTGAATATTTCATTTATACGTATTATATACAAATATTAATGAACACAATTTTTACATGACAAGGGAATAAGTATATGTGAATGTTCGCTCTGTATTTTGTTATGTTTTCCTTTCATAAAATAATTTTTGCAGTAATTAATTATAGAATAATATAAAATATTTCACCTTATTAGTGTTCTTATAATATGCAAAAATTATAAATATGATTTATGTAGTTTTAGCATAACTTATATTTTTTTCATATTTTAGAGCATTAATTATAAATTAAATATATTTGTTCTTCTTATAATAATTATCCAATTATTTCTCATTTTCTATATTAAAAATATAATTTATAATATGTAAATTTTTATATTGTTAAAAAGATATAACAGTACAATTATTTTCTCAGTTTTTTCTTATTAATTTAGGTATTAAAATTATATAATACAAAATTAACATATGACAAAAATTGTCTTTATTTTATTATAAAATATACATAACATATGAAATATAACGATGATGATTTAATATATATTTTGCTTAGATAATTAAAATATAAAGTATTCATTTTTTTTACTTGTCATAATTTGATAATTCGTGCTTAATAAAAAAAAAATTAGTTAGAATTATATTAGTTTAATATTTATATAATCATAAGGAAATTCTTAATAAGTCAGAGGAGTTATAATGTTTTTGTTCCATGATTTTATTAGATACAATCCATAAATGTATTACATATAAACATTGAATTGTGGTAGTGAAAATAAAATTATGATATAGGTTTAGGGCTTAGGGTTCCGTATTCAGTGTTTAGGTTTCAAGGGTTCAATTATTTAGGATTGATATATAGGTTTTACCATTTGGGGCTTTAGGTTCTATGTTTGAGGTTTTAATGTTAAATGTTTATATTTATCTTTCATCGTAATAATATCATTATTATGTTTTATATATATTTTTGTTTTTCTAAATTACTTTCTATCTTTTTATGTTACATTTATAATTTTAATATGCTTAATTTTATTTATTTTTTTTTTTTTAACAATATTATATTATATTTATAAATATATATAATTTTTTATTATATGTAATATAAGAATTTAATATTTTTGTTATTTTGAGTATTTTGTCAAATTTTATTATAATTTTTTATTTTCATCAATTTTATATAGCCTTTTATCCTTTATTTAAAGCGTATAATTTATATGACATGTGTACAATATGCAAAAATATTCAGTGTTATTATACTATAAAATGTTAAAATGTATATATATTTTATTTGATGAACAAGTTCTTATGAATAATATATGTATCTTATATTAATTATACCTATTTTATATATATAATTAAATAATGCATTGCGATTAGGTATTCTCTCATTAAATTTAATAGCTCTTTAATACTTAATAATTTTTTTTTTATTTTTTCTATTTTTTTCAATTCATATTGATTTAATATACTATTATATCATGATCATTTTATTCATATTTTTACGACCTATAGCATATACATTAAAAGAAATATTATAAGTTATTATTTTATAGTTATTATGGTACTGAAACTATTGCAAAATATATAAAACATTGCCTGTTTTATTTACTATTTTAAATAGAAATCATGCAAATTTTTTAAAAAATATATATATTTTTTCGTTTATAAAATAATATAAATATTTATTATTTTATATTTGAATGTGATGGTGATTTATTTATATATATATGGACAATTTTTTTTTGTCAGGTAAATCATTAGAATTTTTTCATAAAATATCACTGATTTATAATAAAGATTTTCAAAAGAATTACAATTTTGAAAAACATTCTTTAATTATATAGAAAATGGGTAAATTATATTTTTATAAAAAATTAATAATTTTTTTATTGATAATACATATAATGTCCTTAATATTAATAATAAATTTAAAATATAATTTAACGAGTATATATTGTTTGTTCAGTGCAGATGTGTTGACGTAGCATAATATTAATTCTTAAATGCTGTCAAACATATTTCATATATATTAAGGCCTCCGTGGATACTCTATTGATTTTAAAATTAAAGATTTCTATGAAATGTATATATATATTATTTATTTTTTTATATGCATGAACAAATATAATACATTTATTATGGAAATTTAACGAATAATGAAAATAAACCATATACAATATTTTTATAATACTTCAAAGAATAATATTCTTTAATATATATTTATGTTCTGAAAAGTATTTGTGATAATTTACATTTTCCTTATAAAGAGAATATATACATATGTTCAATATACTATTATATTATCTTTTTTAAATAAATAGTACTATTCATTTTATAGGTCTCATATAGAATAACATAAAATTTTATAAATACAATATAAAAAATTTTTATGTTAAATATTTTTTTTGGACAGAATAAAAAATTAGCTATAATTTTAAAGTATAATAAGTATACATGTATATTGTAATAAAGGCAAGAAACATAGGTGCAACCATATAAGAAAATACTAAAAATAATTTATTATTATATGGGCGAAATGAAGTATTATAAAATAATAACAGTGTGTGATCAGGTGTTTATGGTTACCTGAAAATGGTTCTAAAATAAGTAGAATATATAATATAATCTAATTATATTAAACAATGCAAAGGACAACTCTTTTAATAATATGATTATTCATATGAAATTTAATATATGATATAGAAAAATATTTAAAAACAAAGAGAAAAATATTAAATTCAACATTTATAAAATATTGTTAGATTGAAATATATTTCATTGCTCTTTTATATTTTATAAGTATAATATTTTTGTATTCACCACTACAAAGAAAAATTGTGCGTTTTTTTTAATCCTTTTTACATAGTTGATACCTGTAATGAAATGTTTAATGAAGATGTATACGTATTAAAATAATACTTCACATGAATTAAATAAGGAAAAACAAATATAAATAAACAATTGCTTACAAGGAAACAAAAAAATGAAATAAAAATGTTATATATAATAATGTATCGGTCCTAAGAATAATTAACTTATTTGTAGTGAAGCTTCGAAAAATTGTATAATGAATATGTAAGCATTTAAAATTCATACTAAAAAAACGTATACAGAAAGTTATGAAAAAAAATAAAAATTTTTAAATTAATCACATATGTGCATATATAATAAATATAAATAAACATATCAATAATACTATTTTATAAAAGTGTAATATATATATAGAGAATAAATGAATATAATATATTCAATTAAAATCGCTATTGTCAATATTCACATGCATTAATATGTAAATATATATTTTCTCTATTTAATTATAAATATTATAATGTTTTATAACTTAGAGACTACTTATACATAAAAATTATTCTATATAAAAATGGGATATATATGACATATACTTATTTTTTTTTTATCTATAGTTTATTGAAGAAATCGATATTCATTAGATATCAATAGTATTTTTATTTTGAAAATTTTAATTTCTGTATTGAAAAATTAGTATATGCTTTATATTATAATTACTGCTATACGATTATATGAATACATTATTAGAGAATTTTCGCATATTAATTGTTTAATACTGTTTATTTTGGTTAAATCAAATAATGGCAATATTTTATATATATAAGGATAGAATTAGAGTGTATGATATAAAATATGGTGTCTATTGTTCATAGAAGCATTGCTCTCATTTTTGTACGATTGGAATATAACATAATCTTCATCTATATTATTCCACTTATTTCGTTTTCTACTTAATGCTCCTTGAAAGCATGAATTATATGGGGTAAACTAGTTAATAAAAAAATTTATATTTTAAATAAATATTATATTAATATTTTGCTTATAAATATATAACAAATTTATTTATTACATCAAATATGTATACATATTATAATAATTACTTTAAGCAGAATAAATAAAGTTATTGATATTAATAATATCAAAATAATTGTAATTACAACAGGAAATGTTATATTATTTTTTTGGAACAAAGGTAATATTTTATATGTTAAATGGTTGCAAGATTTAATTGTACTTAGTGCATTATATTTTTCCCTAACATTCTTTAATTCGTTACAAAAATCAGAGAAACTATTGGATTCACAGGGATTCTTGTATTTCATATATGATATAGCGCATTCATTAGCACAACTGCATTTATCATCAAATGAAGTAGTATTATTCTCTATATTATTAAGCTTAGTGTACATGTCATGCAGATCTTTGAGCTTTTGCATTTCATCATCTGTAATAGTAGTGTAAGCAATTTCTGAGCATATGTTATTATGAGATGTATCAATAGCTTTCAACAATTCATGAAAAAGACTTTTAATATGACCCATATTTTTATTATTATTATAATAATACAGCCAATAATACAAATATATGCAACTGGATTTTGATTTGTTGAGCATGTCCCAGTGTTGTTTTTCTATAATTTCCGTATAATCTTCCACTTTTTTGCATATGTTCTCAACAGATGGAAAAAAATTTTGAAATTTTTCTCTTCTAAATGAGATACAATTACCCGTTATGCTGTTACCACTACTGAGTGTTGTATTTTTCATAATAGAACCCAAAGTAGGAAAATCCTTTGCTAATTTATACTAGGAATAAACAAAAAATTATAATATAATAATAATTATAAATTACTTAAATTCTTTTTATTAATTCTATTTGAAAATATTAAATAAAAATGTTTGAATATAGTAATTTATATTATAATATTAAAGATGTACAATGTCTTTTTCCATTTCTCATATGTTTATATTTCTTTACAGAATGACTCGATAGAATAATGGAATGTATCGGAATATATATAGCATTTTTAAAAATTAAAAATAATATTCTTAAGTATAAGAAGTTTTTCATCTTATTTAATTATATATGTGATATAAAAACAGAATGAACATCTTAATTATTAAATTTTAAAAATAAGAAAATAAATAGCAATCATTGTAACATATAATATACTTTTTAGATATTATAAGAAAAAAAAAAAATATATTATTAGCTAGTATCAGAACAAATTAAAAAAAAAAGGTTTATTTTAATACTTGTTGATAAATTTATAATTATATTATTTTACTAATTCAATAGGAACAAGAAAAAAATGTAATATTAATAAAAGCTATTAACATATCTATATCAACAATAATATTTATTATTTTCCGTTTGCATTTTTTATAATGATATATATTATTTAATCAAAGTTATAGAAAATATTAGAACATATAATCATAATTTTGTTGTTAAATTATTTCTCTTATGTAATAAATGATATAAGCTTATTAAAGTGCGTTATTATCATTCTTGTAAAATGCGTATCAATACTACTTATTAAATATAGTAATGGATCTAATAATATGTAATACATTGTATACATATATATTACAATAATATATAACCTTCTAAAAAAATTATATTTACATTTTTGTACTCAATTAATATATGTGAACCATATACATATGTTGTAAAAACTAATTTATTAAAAATATAGACACTCTAAAGAAAATACATATATTAAGGTTATGCGAAAACATGAATGATAATATATTTAAGCAATTCGTATTCTTATACTACATTTCATATTTTTATTTACTTTCATTTCTCAATATTATCAGTAGTAATAGAAATGAAAACAATAAATACAAGAAAATTTGGGTTTTATAATGAATATATAAAATATTTGAAGTCAGTATTTTTCAAGAATTAACTACGTCTTATATATTTGATTATTGTTTTATTTATGAGCATTGTATATATCAATATTATTCATTCTAAATATGTCATGCAAGTCATTTTGTGTTAATTCTATAAGGAACATATGGAATGTACATTTTATTATGTGAATAAAAAGAGACTTTAACATAAAAATTGTTCTCTATATTTTATCATGTAATGTAAAAAATAATATTTTTTTATAAAATTTTTTTTTTTCTGATTGAAAAATATATTCACTATTAAGAAATAAAAATATTAATTATCATTACTGATTTTTATAAAAATAAATATTCTTTTCAATTTTATATATTTTTTATTATTCAATAATTTTTACATATCAATAAAATAACAAATTTAGCGGTATAAATAATATAAAATTCTCATTAGTAAAACTACATATATATTAAAGTATTCATTTACTATGTATTTATGTTTTTATTAGTTAAATATATAACATATTCAATGATAATTTTGCCTTAAAATAAATATTATTACGGTTATGGATCTATAAAAATGGTGCTCTTGATAATGTATAGAATTGTTTTTGTTATGATATAATTGAATACTTTATAATATAAAAATATATTAATAAATTAATATTTCCTTATTTATGAATTACATTATATAAAATGTTATAAGTTAACATTAATAATGTGTAACTCATTATTTTATTTCAAATATTAATGATGAAAATACTTCATTAAAAAATGTATTATATATTAACTCTATAGAGTATGAGAAATTTGTACATAAATATGACACAATATGATAACGAAACATGGTTTTATAAAAAATATGGATTTATATATATAACCCTCCTTGTATAACACACAAATAGTTCATTAAATTATTCCAATGAGACAAGAATATAAAATAGAGAGTATATGAGCTATGCATAAAATTGAAAATATAAAAAAAAACACATATTAAATAAATACATATATACAAATGGTAGAATTCATCACTTAATAAAAAATTAATTAAAACTCTAAGCTAAGGTACAATGACAAATGAAAAGAAACATGTAATACATAATGAATCTCTATTTTATACCCTGACCAATTTTATAAAGTACCTGTAAAGGGAAAAAGTATTTAATATATAAATATATACCGAAATCATGTGCAATTATGGTAAAAGTAACATATGTAATATATACTGGATATATGTTTATAATTTTCTAAATATATAATATGCAATTTATAAAAAATATATTTCATCAATGTGTTATCCTCAAGAATTATAAGAATATTCAACATTATATAATCGTGTAATGTTTAATTAAAAACCTCATTGATATATCTATAAATTTAATTATTATTCATAAAAGTATTACAAAAACTGGGTGTCAAAATTTTGCTAGGTATTATTCTTCTGTAAATTATTAATAGGATTTTTATAATGTTATGTCTATATGTTAAAGTGAAAAATTAATAAAAAAAATAATTTTAAAAAAGCACAAAAATAGTAGAAATATGATATACAGGAAATAGTACAACAAAATATGGTTCTGAAAAAATATATTGTAAATATAGTTACTTTTCCATAAATTAATAGTAATATTTAGAAACCACGGCCATAATATCTTTTAATATTAAGCAACATTTTCTAATATATTCCTATATAATATTATATCCATTTCGTGTTTAAATGTAATACACCAGGTTTAATAATGCTCATTTATATTCAATATCTTATTTTTTCAATTATTTATGATATACGGCAACAATAGTGCAAATGTTTATGAAGTTCCTCGCACTCATACAAAAACAGTGTTATTAAAATATATTTAAAATATAAATTAATCATTTTTACTTAATGAATAGAATTTTATAAAGGTATATATTGTCTATTCATATATCTTTTTATAAATAGAGACATCTATATATTTTTGACACTAACGTTTTCGTATACATAACATTTTTTTTACGATATATAATGTTCCCATAAATACGTAATATATAATACTATTCTTTATTAATATAAAATTAAATTTTCATTTTTATTTGTATTATATTAAATTTATTTGTTTTTCTGTTCATGATTTATTCTATAATATAGGGTTTCTTAAATTTATATATAAATATTTTTATTATTTTTTATTAATATAGCGTTGTACTAATGAATTTTACTTCTTTTCACTTATATATATAATTATTGATATAATTTAAGGCATATTTATGCCATTATTATTATATACATCTATATTTACCGTGTGACATAATTTCGAATTTCTTCGTATATTTTTGTACAGCATCTAACATTGTAGATTAAAGAATTATGTATAGATTTTTATACACGTAATAATTTCTTGGTGAACCTATTAATAATTATTTAATCATAAATAAATATAAAATAAACAATAATATACCTAAAATTCATAGATAATTGTATTATTCTATGCATAGTATATATTAAGAAGAACAAATTTACATCGTATTTAATAACACGGAACATTATAATGTTAAAAGACATTATACAATCTTTTAATGTATATTTTATATAAGGATCATTGAGCACATATAGGATAAAAATATGAAAGAACTCTTAAAATTAATGTACATTTTTTCTATTTATTAATATGCTTTTATATTATATTATTAAATGTTTGTATTGTTTTAAAAGAAATATATTAAAAACATTTAAATTGGTTAAAATATCTTTCCGTAAAATATTATAAAAGTTCATAGATTGAAATTACATATGAAACATTATTATTCATATTTCTTACAAAAATGAATAATTAGCATTTTATAGGTGTCATTTAATTAGTTTTATTGTTATATGGGTGTTAAAATTCTGAAAAGTGAAGCAAAATCATAATAGATTAAAACAAATTAACAAGGGGGGCACGAAGTTGTATAATATGTATAAAGATTCATTCATAAATCTAAGAACATAATTAATTTTTAATATAGTTGTTTTCAAGAAAAGTATTATAATATTACAAAAATCTAAGAGCTACTAATTAGCACATCATATAAAAAGTTACTCATTTGACACTTTCCTTTATTAATGCCTTGCTATATGCTGAATAGTATAACAATATGAAGTAAATATATGTATAAAATTTTATTTCATAATTTATGTTATAAAAATAGTATTATGAAATATATAATGTAAAAAAAGGCATTGTTACATATGTTGTAAATATTGTATTTTAGTTAAATTCAAAAATTGCAACAAATAACACAATCTATATTTCTTCATCAGATAATGTTTTTTAATGCGACATATTAAAGTATAACTTATAGCGTCCAGAAATGTGCCTTCAAAAAGATGAATGTAATTAAAATTAGAACTCTATAAAACATTAATAAATCTAATATAACAATGAATTAGGGTTTAATTAATATAATTATAATTTGTAAATGAGAAGTAAAGATGTATATATTATAAATGTATTACATATAATTACTGCAAAAATGTTAAAAACAAATAAAAATATTAGAATTTTGTCTGTACAAGACAAATTTATCTTATTATCTTTAATAATAAAATAGAGTCGAAGCAATAGGTAAAAGAATAAAACTATGATTTTTTTCAAAAATATCACAAGCATTTTAGTTATATTCATTAAGACAAAGTATTTGATGATGTAGACAAAAGTTTTTAAATTTAACCATTTCAGAGATATTAAATTTTTTATTTATTTGTCTATATGAAATTGCTTTTTAAAAAATAAATAACACACATTATGATATATATGTATTAGTAAATAAATTATATATATTTTAATTTTCATCATTCTCAATTTTTCATGAAGCATATATACTACATTTCAGTATAATAAAATAAGAATAATGATTTTTATTATTTTGTTTATATTATTATATCTCAGTCAGAAGAAAATCTAAAAGAGGATAAAATAAATAATTTCTTAGGGACTTTTTGAAATATAATTTGTAGATGCACTTGATATAACAGGAACGCTAAAAAATAGTAAGAATATATTGTTAACTTAACTATAATATGCTCATTAATAAAACATATAATTATAAATTAATTGAAAAGACATTTATATATACCT